TATATATATATATATATATATATATATATATACACAAGGATATCATTTTGGGAATCAAAGATTCATACAGAACTTTAACTGAACTGAAAAGGTGGAAGTTACCAGAATTTGTGACAGCGTGGCCAGTATGTTTAAATCTTTATAAAAATACACTGAAAAATGTAGTAAAATAAGTCAAATAAGAAAAAGACGAGAACAGCAGATACTTCTTAATTTAATCTGACAGTTTATTTTCTTCTAATTAGCTGTTTACACACGACTGGTTGACTCGTAAGCTGTGGCTACGTGATAAACGTTTCGTGTCGGTGCTGCAGGTGACGTCTAAGGACGCTGAGGAGAAGAAGGCTGCAGGAACCAGGGTGTCCGTGCAGCTTTTTGACTCTCCGGCTATGAACTTCACCGTGCCGGGGGACCTTCCCTGGACCGACCCCAAGTTCTCCGAGGTGGTGGCTCAGGAGGCCCTGGACCGCTACAAGGAAACCAGCGTGTGAGTGAAAACAAACAACAAAAAAAAGAACGCTTTCAGGAAAAAGAGCCAAAAGCTTTTTGATCCGACGTTAAATCTAAAGCTCGAGAGCAGACGCGTTAGAATGTAGCTGAGACTCCCAACATGTCTCCGCTCTTTTTGCTGCGTCGTTCCATCTTTTACACATTTATTTTTTTTAAACGACGCTAATCCTTCTGCATTTCTTTTCCTCAGAGTGGTCAAATAAACTCCACCTGGACTCACAGCCGAACTTCAGCTTGTGCCAATGAGAAAACGCCGCAAATTCATCAAACTGCACCCGAAATCCTGAAGCTTACGCACCGATCCTGAGGCTCGAGTCCTGCTTCTGCAATAAAACGCAGTGTAACCTCCAAGGGTTATATAGTCCTGCTGTAGGAGAAGATATTTAGTAGAAAACAGGCCTGAATCCCATCTGGAGAACCTCCTGCATACAGGAAGTTCTTATAATATGAGCTGGGTCTCCTAAAAGTGGCCATAGTGCAAAAATGACAAGTTTCATGTATTTTTAGAACAAACAGTGCAGCTGTCGTCAGCTCTCGTTCATTAATATCATTTTTGAACAAAATTTAGAGTAAAGTTTATTCCTTGTGTTGCCGTGACTTTAATGATCTGATATTTGTCGTTGCCGTGTTCAGTTATGGTTGTTCTACCGGAGTTGATGTGAGTGATTTAAATGATTAAAAAGCAATAAATAGATTTAATAGAACCTGCCAAACTTTGCCTGATGTCTTTTTATTTTCTAAGATAAGCCTCCTTTCTGTTCATTTAAAAACAACCTTAATGTAAGGGGACATATTTCAATAGATTTTTAATGTAATTAAATGCATTAATTCTACAAAAATAATCCAGATAAATTAAGTTAAATGGGAGAAAATGTGTGTAAATAAATATAAAAATACATATATAAAACTCCAAAGTGGTACGTTTAAGTTTATTCAGCCCCAACTCTTATCAGAAGTGTCACCAACTGTAACAAACCCCAAGAAGATAAACAAGTCCAAAACCTCCAAGTAATAAAAAGTTACAAAGTGAGACATCATGAAGACCAAGGAACTCTCTACACATGTCAGAAGCAAAGAGGCAGAGAAGTGCAGATCAGGGTTGGGTAATAAAAACAATTGCAGAAACCTGAACGTCACACTGAGCTCCACTGAATCCATCATTAGGTGGAAAGATTCTACCACCACAGTAAACCTTGTAATGGTTGCCTCCATGATGTCAAAGATGACCCTGATGGAGGTGCAGCTGTCTGTAGAGGGAGGCTCCGTCCTCAGGACCACTACACGCTGCACTGAGCTGGGCTTCATGGAAGAGACGCAGGAAGAAACTACAAGAAGGAAAAGCTGGATGACTTGGAGTTCCTCAAACTTGAAGAAGGTGCTGTGGTCAGATGAAACCAAACATCGACCTTTGAGACCACTCTGCCACCTCATCATGCTGACAACGCTGTCCTTACACTGAAGCATGGAGGCGTCAGCACCATAGTTTGGCGTTTTCCATTGGTGGCGACTGGGAAACTGGTTAGAGTTGAAGGAAGGAAGGCTGAAGAGTCTTCCAGACATTTGAGTCTGAGACAGAGGTTCATCTTCCAGCAGAACCACGACCCTGAAACACGGATGAAGTGACACCCCACTGGTTTAAGGATAAACAGCTGAAGGATCCAGTCAAAGCCCACACTGCAATCCAAGTCTATGGTTTGATTTAAAGGACACTGGGTGGGGGGTTCCTGTTTTTCCTGCTGCTCTGAAGACATCAGATGGCGCCAACAGGTTCCACACCTGAGGATAATCTCCCTAATGAGATGCCAGGAGTATAAGAGGCAGCAGATGATCTCACTGCTGGAGCATTAAACCTGCCTCTGGTAGTCGTGCTCCTAGCCTTTTGTGTTCTCTGATCTTTGAGAAAGACTCACCTGTGTTCCTTTGCATTTGCAGCATCTCTCGTGACACACCTGTGCCGGGACCTCGTTGAAAGAACCCCTGGAAATCTCTGGCGCCTTCCTACCACACGCACTACTGCCTAATCTACAGGTGCTGGTCATAAAATTAGAATATCATGAAAAAGTTGATTTATTTCAGTAATTCTACTCAAAAAGTGAAACTTGTTTATTATATTCGTTCATTACACACAGACTGAAATATTTCAAAATGTTTATTTCTTTTAATGTAGATGATTATAACTAACAACTAATGAAAACCCCAAATTCAGAATCTCAGAAAATTAGAATATTACTTAAGACCAATAAGAAAAGGGATTTTTAGAAATGTTGGCCACATGAAAAGTATGAACATGAAAAGTATGAACATGAAAAGTATGAACATGTGCAGTACTCAATACTTAGTTGTTGCTCCTTTTGTCTGATTACTGCAGCAATGCGGCGTGGCATGGAGTCGATCAGTCTGTGGCACTGCTCAGGTGTTATGAGAGTCCAGGTTGCTCCGATAGTGGCCTTCAGTTCTTCTGAATTGTTGGGTCTGATGTATCACATCTTCCTCTTCACAATACCACATAGATTTACTATGGGGTTAAGGTCAGGCGAGCTTGCTGGCCAATTAACAAAAGGGATACCATGGTCCTTAAACCAGGTACTGGTAGCTTTGGCACTGTGTGCAGGTGCCAAGTCCTGTTGGAAAATGAAATCTGCATTTCCATAAAGTTGGTCAGCAGCAGAAAGCATGAAGTCTCTAAAACTTCCTGGTAGATGGCTGTGTTGACCTTGGACCTCAGGAAACACAATGAACCAACACCAGCAGATGACATGGCAACCCAAACCATAATTGGCTGAGAAAACTTGACACTGGACCTCAAGCAACATGGATTCTGTGCCTCTCCTCTCTTCCTCCAGACTCTGGAACCTTGATTTCCAAAGGAAATGCAAAAATTTCTTTCATTAGAGAACCTAACTTTGGACCACTCAGCAGCAGTCCCAGGCGAAACACTTCCGACGCTGTCTCTTGTTCAAGAGTGGCTTGACACAAGGAATGCAACAGCTGAAACCCATGTCTTGCATACGGATGTGCGTGGTGGTTCTTGAAGTAGACTCCAGCTGCAGTCCACTCTGTGATTCTCCCCCCACATTTTGGAATGGGTTTTGTTTCACCATCCTCTCCAGGGTGTGGTTATCCCCATCGCTTCTACACTTTTTTCTACCACATCGTTTCCTATCCTTCGCATCTCTATTAATGTGCTTGGACACAGAGCTCTGTGAACAGCCAGCCTCTTTAGTAATGACCTTTAATGTCTTGTCCTCTTTGTGCAAGGTGTCAATTGTTGTCTTTTGGACAACTGTCAAGTCTGCAGTCGTGATTGTGTAGCCTACAGAAGAGACCATTTAAAGGCTTTTGCAAGTGTGTTGAGTTAATTAGCTGATTAGTGTGTGGCACCAGGTGTCTTCAATATTGAACCTTTTCACGGTATTTTAATTTTCTGAGATACTGAATTTGGGGTTTTCATTAGTTGTCAGTTATCAACATTAAAAGAAATAAACATTTGAAATGTATCAGCCCGTGTGTAATGAATGAATATATATATTTCACTTTTTGAATGGAATTACTGAAATAAATCAACTTTTTCATGTTCTAATTTTATGACCAGCACCTGTACATAGGTGTGGACCAATGAAGCTAAAGGCAACAGGCAGAGCACAAAGCATGAAAATGAGAGAGGGGAGATATAAAGAGCAGTCAGGTGATTTGTGACAGGAAAGATGGAGATGGTAGCTCTAACAAAAAGACAGGAGGTGGAGCTGGAAGGTGTCCAGCTGTCCATTAGGAGTAACCAAGAGTTGGCTCAGGTCAAGTTAAGAGGCTGAGATGGTTTGGACGCATGCAAAGAAAGGAAGCAGGAAGAAAAGATGAAGACCACTGAGAGAGTTGGAGGTAGTAGTGAAAGAGGACATGCAGATGGGTGGTGTGATGGGGGAGAATGCTGGGAGAGAACAAAGATGGAGGCAGATGATTCACTGTAGTAACCCCTAAAGGAAGCAGTCCAACAGAGTAATAAATAAGAGAGTTCAGATTTAAATATTGTGCCATTTGTTTTATTTTTGTGTAAAAATCACACAGCTGCTAGTTAACTCTGCAGAGATTCAGTACATCCATGCAGTTAAAACATCTAGGATCCCACAGCCAAGAGAGAAGGAATTAAATAGAATATTCTTTCGCCGTTAGTCAGCAATTAATGCAAATTTACAAGAGTCCAAAAGTGTGTATCATACAATATACAACGCAGATCTGGGAGCGAATAGCATTCAAAAGCCCATCAAAGACTTCATTTTGGATGGATTGCTTCTGCCTGCCTGGATTGCCTTGGGAGGGCTTGGGGACGAGGAGGGAGCCGTTGTGCGTGCAAACATCAAAACAATCCTTGAAGGGGTTTCAATTGGGTTTTAAATGGTATTAGTTCCAGGTCTGGAAACAATATCGCACGCACACATACACACAAAGTACACCATCGTCCTCAACAGCAGGGAAACACAAAAAAACAGAAAGAAAGGCAAGCCTCGTTACTATGAGAGGTCAGTCAGCCATCTTGGAAACCTGAACGCCTGTTGGGAGAGTAAGGCTTTAGAAGAGGATTCATGAACAGCAACACGATGAGACAAAATAATTATTCAAATGATCTGACCAAACAAAAATGGACATTTCAGGACACTGAAAACTAGTTTTAGAGCAGAACTGAGGGAAAATTAAAAAAAAAAAGCTTGAAGGGCTAGTTCTTCAAGCATCTTTTTTTAAACAGACAAAATCAAACGTGCAGGTGAAAAACATAAAGATAATGTGAGGGGAGTTTAGTTCAAAGTGCAGTTAGGTCATTCAGGTCTTCCATTTAACTGACTGGACTCTGCTGAGCTTCATCTCCACCTGGCGAGAGTCACATTTTGCAGATTTCAGGTGGTAAAACCCAGTTTTCTTTACCACATATCAAACTCAAGAACCGCGGGCCAAATCTGGTCCCCCAACATGAGAATCTAAATGTAAAATATTGAATCTCTTATAATTTTTTTCTTTTAAAAAAACTAATAAATACGTTGTTTAGTAGACTTCTCTTACCAGCTGGCTAACTTTGAAGTCAGAAAAACGCCCGGGTCATTCTATCGTTATTGATTCTGGTGTGGAAAGAACTCTTGTTCATGAACCTGCAACCAAGAAAAGATATCAGGCGTTTGACTCGAGTTCATGTATCAGCTGAAAGTGGACCGTGGCTCGAACAAAGTTTTAAAACTTTGGCTACTTTTGGTAACCGAGTTCAACACTCCTAGGTCAGGGAGCGCACACAAAAAAAAGCAGACTTCCCATCAATACTTAAAAAAAATAATAATAATAAGGGGTGGGGGCAACGACGACGACAAACGTACAGCAGATTGTGTTCTGGAAGAGCTACGATACAAAACCAGAGGATACCGTTCGCACAGTTGCTACTATCAGAGTACAAACAGCTAAAGTTGAGTTGGTTTGTGAAGATGTCTCGCACATACTTGCATAGCGCCGTCTCGCCCGATTGGAAAACGGCTGATTCTTTTTTTTCCTCTCTCTTTTACATCAACTCCTCCTGCACCGACACTTTGGATCTGCATTTACAGCAGAGAAACCGCAGGAAAACTTCTCCCTGTTCAGCAACACCGTTCTTCATGAAACCCTCCTGCAGCTTAAAACTGTCAAACCCTTCAAGTGAATGTTTTTTTCTCAATAAATGGTTTTCCCGATTAGGTTAAAGCTACTCATTGCAAACTATGAAAATGAACAAAAATGCATAATTTACTCAACTGCCAATCCATTAAATTGTCACCAGTGAAATATTTTCAGTCAGTTCAGCCGTTTCTGTAGGTAAACAAACATGTTAGTGGGCTGCCGTTCACCAACTTTGCTTACAGATTTAAATTTTAAGACATCAATATGAGAAAGGAAGTGTGCAGATTTTATTTTGGCCCGTCTTCACGAGGTTGCAATGAGTATCTTTAAAAAGGTACAGACAGGAAAACTGGAGCTCAGGAAGAAATAGAAAGACGAAAAATGAAATAAAATCAGAAGAGGCTGCTTTTTTTTTTTTTTTCTCCAAACGCAGCCCCAATTGTTATAGTTCAGTCATTTTGGCATAAACTTTAAACCATTCAGTCACATCAATCGTCAAATGCAATAACACGAAGAAAAACGAGACAAACACGGCATCAACCACACGCAGCACGTATGTAGACTTGAACAGGAAGAGGACAGAGCTGAATTCATGTCACAGGATGAGTTATACAAAAAAACTAAAATAAAAACCTTCACAACAAGCGAGTTATTAAAAGCCTCAAACATTCGCACGGTATTCCTTTCTGGATCTCGCCCAGTATGATTTATTTAACCTTTTCTACAATAGAAACCTGCTTTTACTGGATTCTTTTAAACTAGTGAAAGACTTGTGACTTATACTAAATAACTCATTAAACAGCTGTCCGTTATCCAGATACAAGTATAATCTGTGGTTCTGGGAAGAATTGAAGGCAAAAAATAAAGAGCTGGAAGACGCTTTAAAATAACAGTTCTCACCAAAATGAGACGGATTTTTGTTTTTCCCAAAGAAAGTTGGAAGTCGTGCCTTTATTACCATCTAAAACCAGAATTTATTTATTTTAGTTCAGACTGTTTCCCCACTTTAAATGCTACGCTAATCAGCCATTTCATTTATATAATTAATGCGTTTGAAACCAAAATGGAAATAATGAGAACAGATAGTTTGGATTAAATGAAACGGTGTTCCGTGAAGTTGTCGTAAGTAGTTAGTATCTCACCTGCAGCAGAAACTAGGAGACAAGCTAACAGCTCGGTCAAGATAAAAGCAGACGTCTTTGTATTTTTAGCCTCAACCTCACAAAAGTTTCATAGTTCAAAGAAATTTTATTTTGCAACACAATTTTTTTAATTAGACTTATTTTGATAAATGTTGGGTTATTTTGATTCAAGTCCAGGTCAATCTGTTAGCAGCAATTCATTTGAAACCTATAAAACGGAACATGTTTAGAAGGCAATAACTACATAAATCATAGCTGCGTTTAAAATCAACAAATAAATGCTTTTTGAAGTGCGTTACTTTAGCAAAGTGTAGCGACTCTGCCCAAGTGAGACGCAACAGGATCGAGTTTCATGAACAGACGCAGATTAATTTGTCCGCACCTCGTCAAAACAAAACTTCAATTCTCACAAAGTGATTTAGTTAAAATTGTCTCGTGTTCACCTGCATGTCTTTGGTATGCGCCAGAGAAAATAACAAAAAATGGGGAAAATGAGTTTATTTTATATGCTGTACCACTAAAGACGATCTGCACGTTTTAAACCAAGAGTTTGACCGTCATTAGCGCCACGGGTGCCTTCGAGGTTTTCATCAATCAGCCTATTTAACTGACAAACATGAAACTAAGCCGTTGGGTATGGTTGTGTGATCACACTGAACCTGACGCAGATAAATCAGATGAGTTGTCCGAGGAGCTCAGAAAGAATATAGATCTCCATGTTAACAGTAAAGGCTGCAAAACCATCTCCGAGCAAGTTCCTCTCAAATATTAATAAGAAAACAGAAGGTTCACGGGACTTGAGCAAACATCCCCGGACGTGGACGCAAGAGGAAATGCAACCCCAGTTTGAGCAATGATAATTAAAAACATGAGCCAAAGAAATGATCCAAAACTATCCGAGCTGAACTCCAATCGTCATTTCCTGATCGCACCATCCGTCATATTTTGATAACTGGTTCCATGGGCGACGACCCAGGAGGGCTCCTCTATAGGCAGAAAAACACAAAGACAGGTTTTTCCTAAAATGTTTGGCATCCTCCAAAGTTTCTGGGACTAAGGAGACAAAACTGAAGCTTTTGGTCAATCCCATCAGTTGTTTTTTCAACTATCGTTAAAGGGTACCAACCAATGCTTCCGTGTCTGCAGATCATTTCTGGTGTCAAATCACAGCTGATTGGTCTTCATTGTAAATACCACATACTTGAGATAAAACTCTATAGATGTCAATGACCATAAAGAAAAACCGTTGGTCGTGTAAAGGTTTAAAAAGCCGATCAAATCATGCAAGATTTGCATGAAGGGTTATAAGAATGTCTGGGATTGTTTTAAGACGGCAGAAATCTGCTTTGGTTGTAATCCGGCTTCGACTTCCTGTTAGCTTCTGATTTATTTTACAAACTGATGAACTTCTGAGTGATTTCTGCTTTAGGCTTACACAACGACTACAAATTACTCTACAGAACATCGTAAAAAAAAATCCAAACTATCCTTTTAATTTGATCCAATATTTAATAAAATAAAATTTGGTGTGGCAGAGCTAAACATACTGGTGCTAGCCTCCGTTTAACTCGCTAACCGTGAACACGAGGACACAAACAGTCACACAAACACAACGGTTACACTCTGCATTTCTTCTTCAGTTGCTCAGAGAGTGAAGTACTCAGACACCAGCTGTGGTGTCTTAAGAAACCTAAAGTTCATCCGAAGCTCCTAACCGTCTCGCAGTTTGTCGCCATCCTCATTTCACCTGTTCTTAAAAAAACTGAAAGGTGCCAGTTGATGAATTCTCCTCGGCTCGTTGATTAGACTGATGTCAGGTCTGTCTGGTTTCTGGTCGGATGCCGTGTGATTGAGCGTGAACGCCACACAGCAGCACTGAAGAAATTCAAGATGATGGGAGAAAGAGAGGCGGAGGAAAGGAGGGATGGCCACAGCCTTGCCTCGGAGGAATGACAGCTGAGTTTTGCACCACACGTTGGTTAAAGATGTGAGAACGGTCTGAGCTGCTCCAGCTGGACTTCCAGAGATATCCTCTCTTCCAGCAGGTCCTAAAAACACAACAAGTGTGAGCGCAGTAACATGAAGCCAACCATCATCCTCTTCAGCTAATGTGCTTCAAACCTTCAGTTGTTGTTGTAGTTCACTGTTAAGTCGTGCCAATACTGTGTTTGTCTCCTTGTTTCTTCTGATTGAAGCTTGAATAGCCTTCTTGTCTTTTCCAACAGACCTGAAAACACCGACATGATATTTATTGAACTGGCACAGAAAATAGAACTAAAAGCTTCAGCAAGCGGAAGCTTCCTACCTGGGGATGGAGGGTTGTGCGGTCAGGGGGGCAGCTATGACGCCGGATTTCTGCGGACCGTGCTGCTCGTCTTCGGGCCAAAGCTCGTCTTCAGACTTTAACCTCCGACGAACGGGTTTTGGTGGAGGAGCCAGTGGTCCTGATGAGCCCTTGGCCTGATGGGAAAACAGAACCTCACTCACTGGAAGGGGAGCGTTTATGCGTTTTTGTTTTTTAACAGCAATTACAAAAATCATGACGGGAACTCTGAACTCTTGCGAGCTTCAAATGCTACTTGGACATACAGAGGCGACTGAAGCCGAGGTCCTCTCATCTGCTGGGCCATCACTCTTCACGGTTCTTAAAGGACCGGCACCTTCTGATATCTTGTCCACCTGACAACACAAAAAAAAAAATCAGTTTATACATCTAGAGGGGTGCAGTTATTTCACATAAAAGTATATTAAAAAGGGCAAATTTGATTAAAGGCAGCCGAAAGCCGAACTCAGCCACTCTCTCTCTTTTTAAAATGGATTCAAGCTTATTTTTCCACCTAAGCATTTTCTCCAGTATTCTACATTTGTTCATCTGCACCACCTCCTTTCTCTTTCTGAGGCTGTCACAGCAGAGAAAGAGAAAGGACGGGGGGGAGGGTCTGTCTTTCCCCATGGTGTCCCAGAGACATGCAACAGGCGGGCGTGCAACAGACAGCCTCGGAAAAAGAAAGGAGGGGGCGGGGAGTCGGTCTTATACCCGAGTGAGCCGCACGAGTGGCATAGATTGTTTATTTAAAATAATCAAGTGCGACCCGAACCGAGCCTCGATGGCCAGCCCGCCCCCGGGGCTCAGTAACCGTAGCATCAGTCTGTCTGTTCTCTTTTGCTGTGCTCTTTTAGAGAGTTTAAAACATTGTTAAGAACATTGAAAGAGTGTGGGAACGGTTCATAAGGCCTTGAAATATATATAAATACTAAAATAAATATAGCGTCCCTACTTCATGGATTCTCACCTATCGCGGGGGTGTCTGGAACGTAACCCCTGTGATAAGTGAGAGACTACTGTAATGCAAATGCCGCAATCATCCAGAATGTGATGAGGGCCAATTTCAGCTACTTCAACATAGCCAGTTTAGTTTTTTTTATCAAATTAGTTGACAGTCGTCTTTAATCTTGTTGCCGCGGGTGATTTAAATAGTGAAGAATGGACTTTTTTTTATAAAACTGAAACAAACATGTTCAAAACCCAACAAGTCACTGTGTTTGTTAACACAGTGCAGTCAAAGGGCAGCCTACAATGACTCACACAGAACAATGTAACGTTTTGGCAGCAGTCATTGTTACGATATACACAACACATTAATACTGAGCGTTGCCTCCAGGTTGCACCCACCTGCCCCGTCTCGGTGTGTTTGTCCATTTCTGGCAGGCTGGAGGGCTGCTCAGAGGCAGCCAAGGCCTGAAACTGGCTAAAGTCTGCAAAGTTGGGCTGCTGAGGAATCTGCTGGGGGGAAGTGGTGGTGAGCGCAGCTCCACCTCCAGGAACACCCTCAGCCTCTACTCGATGCCCCGTGAGCGGCACTGATGTCTATAAGGAGACAGGAGGAGAAATAAGATGATGAGGAGCTCTGTGACAGTAAAAGTGAAAGCCTGATAACTATTTTTTTACTTGTGTGGGTAGCGGGCGAGGAGGCACTGCAGGAGGAAAAGCTGTCGTGGAGGGTTGGGGTTGTCCCGGGGCAGACGTGGCAGCGAAGGTGCGATTCATGTCCAGAGACGAAGAGCGAGAGTGGGAAGGGTGGGGGCGAGGAGGAGGGGGAGGTGGCGCTACCACCTTCAGAGCTTCTGGAGACGCACCTGACTGAGATCTGAACACAAACATTCATGTTTCTGGGTTTGAAGCTAAACAACAATGAACAGGAAGTGATTTAACAGTATTAATCCAAAAATACAAAACACATCTCAAGTTCAGGGCTAGAAATGATTCTAGTCTCCTGAATGAAGCAGAAAATATGTGAGAATACACAGAAATATGGTTTAATATATCTAAATTACCTTTGTCTGGTGGTTGGTTCCTGATCTGAGGTAAAGGAGTCTGAACTGCTATAACCATCACCTAATGTGGAATGAAAGGAAAATACACAAGGTTTAATGCAAATCAAAAACATTTTTCTTCATATCAAATAATTTTGACCCTTTAAAGCATAAGAGGCATCAACAAGAAGCACATGTTGACCTAAATGATGACAATAATTCAAGCTTCTTCTACTGTAAACTAGAGAATAAAACCTTAAAGGGACCCTCAGGTGTTGCAGATCAAAATCAAACCTGGGAGAAAAATGTAAAATGAAGTCTTCTGAGGATTCACTGATCTGACAAACTGCATCGCTCATCCCACCTGAGAACTACAGATAATAAGAAAAGCACGTTTTCCAGGCATTTCTAGCTCAGGATAAACTTATTGATTGCAACATATTTTGCTTTTAGTCTGATTAACACCCTCAACAAATGTTCCCTTTACGATTTCATATGGTACGAGATTGTAAACGTTTGAAAACATAACCGTCTTAAACTTTTTGGTAGTTGTGCGTTTTGAGCTAGTTCAAACTGGTTCCACCTGCAGCTGCTGCAACAATAATAAGCTGATAAGTACAGTCAGCTGCCTGTACTGCAGCTGAGGTCTGTGTGAAGGTTTATCCTCACCCTCAGAGGGAAGATGTGGAGAAACTAAAAAAAAAAAAGAAGTGGCCTTCTTTCAGATAATTCATATACATTTCCTATTTTTGAAAACGAGTTCCAGAGTGAATTTAGTCATAAAAGGCAACTCTTGTGTTTTTGTGTAGATGGTAAAAACGTGATATTTTAAAGATCCACAGTCATAGCCTGACCTCCAATTTAACCTACTCCAAGTCTCGTTTCCTGTTTTTGTGTATTTCGATGGAAGCACAACGGCACCTCCTACAGGACTGGCATAGTTACTACAGTAGTACCTCGCTACTTTGCGGTTCGACTTTCGCAGACTCGCTCTTTCATGGTTTTTCCAACACAAGATTGTACACGGCAAACGATTGTCAACTTTAATATTACTCACGCAAAATTATACTTCGGACAGGTGCCGCCATTTTGTAGTTTTCTTTCAATAAGCCTACATTGAAACTTCAGTCAAAAGAACTACACTACCCAGAAGCCAACAGTGCTTCCGACTGCTGCTTTCTGTGGAAATGGAGGGAGTTTAGCAACGCTGTGTCAAAAGTAATGATCTTTCTATTAAGCTCACAGAACTGGCAGGAAAGTCTCAAATAATCCTGAAGCTTAATTATCCGCAGTCATCAACCTGGATGGGGCGTGGGCTTCGTCGCTGCAGGGTAGGTCTGCAAAACCGGAACCAAGATGCTGGTCTGCAGACCTGGGGAGTACCCATATAAAATTTTGCAACACTGTACAAGACATATATGTATGTTGTTAAAATTAAGTAGGTTTAAGAGTTTAGAAAATTGATAAGAACACTGCAAGAAAGTGGGAAGGGTTTCTAAAGCCTTAATATATATATAAATACTAAAATAAATAGTGTTCCTACTTTGCGGTTTTTCACCTATAGCGGTGGTGTCTGGAACATAACCCCCGCGATAATCGAGGGACTACTGTACAGCGTTATGGGTCATTTTGTCATCTGTGTGGATGTAAGCATTTCTAAAAAATGGTGGCGTGTTTACAAGGAAATTTTTCAAAACGACAAATAATAAAAAATAAAAAAAAGACCTGAAACAAATGCGTTCCCTTTTGTGAAAAGGGACTAAATTTTTCAACTCTGCAGCAGAGCAGCCAGTTTTCCACTCACCCACAGTGTTGGCAGCTACAAACTTCATGGAAGCAGTCAGTTTGGCTTCTTCAGACAGTTCTGGAGGTTTTGCCAGTAGAGGACTAGTAGGATTGTGGTCTAAAGAAAAAAAAAAACAGAAACTGTTGAGTCTAATAGAGTAAATACTGAAACATTTATAAATACACTGTAGAAGATTTGCCATTAAATGAGTGTTTTTCATGCTAAAAAAACCTCAAAGCAAATCTTGTTCTTTGTCACTTTTCTGACTTTACTGCTACATCTGCAGGTTCTCACAGCTGTCAGGCACAGGAAGCTGAATTCTAATTATTTTAAAGGATCAAACATTAAGCTAGCATAATTCTAGTTTTAATTCAGATTTGCCCGAGAATGAATTCAGAGGATGTTAAACTCGTTGCAAGGTTCTCTGTGAAGACGGGCATAAAAGAGCTGTGGGAACGCCTGCAGCTGCAAACATGTACAAACACCATTATCTAACAAAAAAATCAGAACCGGATCGTTCAATTCTGAGTCCTACCGCTGGCGGTTCTCTTGAGCTCCATCTCCTGCATGTGAATCTTACTGGGCGTCATCCGGATGGGAACTGGGTGAACGATGGCCGTGTCCTGGAGGGGACACACATAAATGGAGGGTCAAACGGACGAGAGACATTCAAATTAAGATGTTTGAGAAGAAGAGGAAATCATCTGCGCTCCACTTTTTTTTTTTGGTTTAGATCAGGAGTCTGCAACCTGAGGCCTGTCCAAACTTTTTGACAAAGTGTGCATGAAATTTCTGCAGCAGATTGACACAACTAATACCCAAAAGGTGAGGCTGCCCAGCTTTAACCAGATATATCACAATATTGTGCGCACAGCTTCAAAAATCATCTGAATGCGTGTTCTCCATTTTGTTGACATACAGTACAGATGTCGTCCAAATCCACCCAAATTATTTGAATTCTCCTCATAGTTGAGGCAAATATGGAACTGAAGAAACGTACAGAAGAACAAAAGCTTGTTATAAATAAAAGTTTTAACAGTTTAGCTACATGAAGGTTGTGGTTTTATTGTGTTTTAACTGAAGGGTGCATCTTGGTCCATTTATCTTTAGGTGTGATGCTTATTCTGCTCTTTGTTCTTATAATTACAGGGAGGACTCAGTCAGGTCTGAATCACTAACACGAATAACTCCAGTGTCCCTTCCCTTTGTAGAATTATGTACGTTTTAATTACTTTGTCTTAACATTATAAAATTACAAACAAAATACAGTTTCTCAACACCACAAACTGTAGCTTAAAAAGAAAAACCTTTGGAACACAGGAGTGGGGGTCGTGATCTACATTTTGATACGTTGCAGTGGGTCCAGAAAAGGTTCTGCACCCGTTTTACACCAAAAAACGATTATTGTTTGGTGTTAATGACGAGACAAGAAAAGCAAAAGGCAGAACTCTGAAGGGCTGACGTGCTGCGCCCAGACCATTTGTGGCGTGCACACAACCCAGATGTGAAATAATGCAGCATCAGTGTTTGCGTTTGAATATTATGGAACAAATAGGATCAGGATTTACAGTCTAAACCAGGGGTCTGCAACCTTTATGTAAAATTATATTAAATTCTGATCCTCTGCTTCAATTTCTACTATAATATTCAAACGCTGAGTTGTTATTTTGGCATCAAAGATGCTATTATTTTATTTAAAAAAAACTTTTTTTTAATATCATCTTCCTGGAACCCCAGAAACTGGGAGATGACAAATCAGTCAACTGATGCTATGAGATGTTTGATATCCTTAAGCCTAACTAGGAAAGCTTTCTGAGGTATTTGAACATTTAAAATATATATTTTTAAATGATAATTGCAAAAATTGTTGCAAAAGCTAATTTATAATGTATAAATCAACAGATAAACACTTGAGCAAAACTTCATTTGTGGGAAAGACAGTTTAAGTGAACATATCCTGGTGATTTGTACATATTACAAGATTCTTTTTAAAAATGTGATGTCTTTTAGAAGCCAGGCAAACTGAAACCCAAAGAGCTCTTTGACAGAACATCATGCACAGAAAGAACAGGGAGAGATTTCCAGAGAGGGTTAATGTCTGTCCATTGTTGGCGAAACCATGCATACTAAGTGATTGACTTACAGGGTCAGCTGGTGCAATGTTAGAGTCAAATTGGGTCAGAGTTTGTGAGCTGGAGGAGCGCTCGCTAAACGTCTCCCACTGCTGCAGGAGACAGACAGACAGTGAGAAGAGAAACAAAACGTCAGTCAGCCAGTACAGTGACATCACACTTTTACTGAACATCATTGGTCTCGGCTGCAACCGTGGAAACAAAACTACCATCACAGTCCGAAGGAGGGAGAGAGGAGGTGCTGAATTATCAGTAATGGTGTTTTGTGATGAGGAAGACGATGGCAGTCATATCATGATGGATACAGAAATTTGAACTGAGTCACTGTGAGAAATTAATGAGGAAGAATCAAGCAAAAGCAAAAAGGAGGAGTTTTAGGGCTGGGTAAAAATGTGATCTGTTGTGTGCATGTTGAAACCTCGTTGCTCTGGTTCATCTCTGGCCACGCCTGGTTGAGCGACGGCATGGAGGGAGACTTGTTGGGGGTGACCTCCACCGGCGACGCAGAGTATCCAACATCAGCAGTCGACTCCGGGACTTCTGGGGGAAAAAAAAAGCTTTTAATTAAAAAGTATTTGTTGTGAATGACTCTCACCTACTACCAGACCAAGTATTAGCAGAAGATATGAAAAACAGGCTGAGTTAGAGACATTTGTGTTGGCTAATTTCAGTAAGCTGCGGCTGCCATCTTGAACTGCACTCACTCCATGAGTTAAACAGTTGTAGATACACATCCAGTGATAGTTTCCTGAAAGTTTCATGCAAATCCATCCAGTGCTTCGTGGAGTATTTTGCAAACAAACCTGAACTAATTACAGAGGTAACAACATCTGGCAACATTTTAAACAATTAGTTTGCACCGAGTCTCAGCTAGCACCAGCCAGCCAGCATATTTTAGGAAATCTGTAAAACCGAGTTAAAATTTTATGATTTTTAGCTGAACTAATCTGTATATATTTTTTCGTTTCAATAAAAAAGTGGATTAACAATTAACAGTTCGTGGGCAGCAAGTAATTCTCCAATAGTGATCAAATTTAACCTGCACAAAAAATAAACCCTTTAACTTTATTACTGACCAAGAAATAATTATCTTGTTTATAAAGGAAATTTTCTGAGCACCTTAATAATTTATTTTCATTTTTCTACATTGTCTGTTCTTTCACTTGTCTTCTTTTTTACAGTTTCTATGACAAACACGACTCCTAACTTCTATATACAAATATTCATATTAGCGGCATTTTCTACAAAGATAAAGGTCTTTGGCTAATAATGGTTATCACATATTTGCTGACATCACCCTTCGCTGTCTCGCTTTAGTGGCTACACCTTTAAAAAAAAAATACAATTGTAAAAATCTTCTGTTTTAACTGTCTTTTGTTGTGTAAATAACCGTTAAATCAGCTCCCGTTAACAAGGCAGCTGAACCACGCCACACAGCACAGCCCTGCTGCCTCACAGGTTTGGAGTTGTCAAATTAGGCGAGGGTGCGGCAGAGACAAAGAGAGTCTGCGCACCTGCTGAGTCATCCAGGTCGATCAGTTTTGGCATGAGGCTCTCGGGAAGCTTCTCCGGGAGGTCGTAGCCGTTCTTTCTGGCCACGACCAGGTGAAAGGCGGCGCAGAACTCGTCCAGGGTCAGCGCTCCGTCTTTATCAAAGTCTGACAGCTCCCTTCAAACACACATCAGACACAATAATATATGAAGCTTCAGTGGGATTATATGATTATTTTAATTTACAACCTATTAATCATAAATCACAGACTGCATACTCCAAAAACACACGACTCACCAAATATGTGACAACTCTAAAATTGGAAGCTTTGATTTAGTGAAGAACTCTTTTGCTGCTGAACCTGCGACACACAGACACACAGATGATTAACACTTTTCTCATGAGGTCTCGGCTAGCATGACTTTCCTGCATTTTCCCACCAGGGATGAAGCCGGTGAGGTCCGGCTGAATGGTTTTGAACTGGTTGACGTAATACTGCCTCTGCTCGTCTGTGATTTTCCAGGGGTCGTCGTAGCTGCAGGACTGTCGCTGGATCTCGTTGGTGGTCGCAGCTGAGGCCGCTGGTCGTATCGTTGAGCTTTCCTGCAGGAAACAGAATCATAGACGTAAACGTGAACCTGGAGCTCAAATTATAATGTTGTCTCTTATTAAAATAAAAACAAAAAAACACTGAACTCTGGAAGTTTTACAGTGGTAACTGATAAATTACAGTTTCTGTGAAAATGCTGGGAAATAAATGACTTTACTGATATTACTGAAGATGAAAATAAGCTACAAGAAGCAGAACACTGAAACTGAAAAGTAGCAAAATGCTAGGTAAAAGCTAAAACTAGCAAAGAAGCAAAAAAATGGCCAAGACTCAAAAATAGCAAAATGCTATTTTAATGCACAAATTATCAGAAGGATAGCTAAAAACTGAAGGTAGCAAAATGCTAACTAAAAGTAAGAAAAGGCTAGCAAAATGCACAAGGCTATAGAAGCTAAAATTATCAGAAGGTGAGTTAAAAAAACAAGTCTAGTAAAAAGTTTCAAATGGCCAGAAAGAAGCTAAAATGTTGCAAAATGCTGACTAAAACATAAAATCTCCAGAAGGCTAGCTAGAAACTAAAGGTATCAAAAGGCTAGCTACAGACGTAACCAGACTAGTAAGAAGCTTAAAGTAACAAAAGCTGGTTAAAAGCTAATAATAGCAAAACACTAGCTAAGAGCTGCAGTAAGCAGAATGGCAGTCAAAAGTAGCAACAAGCTAGCTAAAAGCTAAAAATAGCATATTAGCTAAAAAGTTGCAAAATACGACAAAGATTTCAGACATTTCGGAAAAATACTAAGAAATCTTGGTGTATTTCTTTTAGGAACATCTTTGTAAATAAAAGTTAAAATTTTTAAAAAGAATAAAAGTTGAAAAACTAAAGTCACAGCACCCATCTTCGGAATGTGCAGAACAATTTTAAACGTAAAAAATAAAATAAAAACAGTGAGTGCTGAATCATAGTTCACACTATAACACAGCTAAAAATGACAATGATAGCAGCATGTAAGTGAAAAAGTCACTGACTTGTTAGTTTTATTGACTCGGATGTGATGTAAAAAACTAAAAATGGAAATCTGCCTAAAAATAGACAAAGAGCAGAACAGGCTTTTGATGGAAAGAGTCACAGAAGCTGCTTGAGTTTGAGTTTAGCAGCAAAAAAACGCACCAAAAGTGCTGACTGATGTTTGAGACTCCTGTGTGGTTATCTGATGTTCTGTGTTTGTAGGAAAAGATGCAGCTGTTTTATCAGACAAAAAGTTTACAATGTTCAGTCTCACAATACGTTTGTTACTTATTGAGCCGAGTCACTTTATCTTTGCCCATTTGTCAACACTTCCTCTTCACTGTAGTGAAAGTGGCTGACATGATGCACACATTTTTTTTTAAATAAACTTATGCGTTATATTCATCAGAGCTATAGAAAGTTAAATACCCAACAGAATGTAATTTATCCTGAGAGCTCAGACCAGCAGGAGGGACAAAAGCAGAGCTGCTCTACCTGGACCGATGAGGGGTGCATCGCGGGGAGTGTGCTGGAGGGTGGCGTATCCGCTGTGAAACTGACCCAGCTTTCCTGACTCGGCAGCGGAGGCGGCGAGTGGGACGGCCATGTGCCATCTCCGGTTGCTGGACCTGGAGGGGAAAATCCCAGAGAAACAAATTTTAACATCTCACACTGTAAATTACAGAGGAACTTAAAAAAGCTAAATTTTTATGATTTACTCCTTAAAACTATTCTTTCCCCAAACACAAGTTCCCCAGAGGCTCAGAAAATAAAACATTTAAAACCTTTCTGCTAACTTGTCTAAAGTCCCTCGGACCTTATGAGGCCGTTTCCAAACTTATATTTGAGTAAAGAGGACAACAGTCGTGAGAAATGAATCAGACCCGTTTGTGGTTCTCTGAACTGCGTCCACACGGCTCCGGTCGCAGCCACCGCCGGCTGCCGCTCCACGTTTCCACCGCTGTGCTGCCGATTGTGTTTCCTCCAAGTGTGAGGAGAGGTGGGGGGCGACTGGTGAGGCGAGATGACCGGGGACGTCGGCTCGGGCTGAAAAACACACATCAACACGACGAAACATCTAAGTATGTCTGCTGACAAACACACAACTCATTAATTAGTTTTCACGCCACCGTATTGAAACTGAAGCGTTTCCTTTTGGATCCCATCTGAGCCACTTAAAAACAAGGAAAGCTACTTCTGAAGTGTTTAATCTGCTTCATGACACATGCGGGACGTTAGAGCAAGCAGTGAGTGAGTGTTTCACAACAAAACTCAACAAGATGACTTCAGTGGAAAGGATCTGTGCGACGCATCGCCGTGTTAATGTCCACGTCAAACAGAGTCAGCAGCAGAAAGGCAGTTTGAGTCGTAACAAACACAGGAGGTCATATTCCTGAGACTTTTTGTAGCAACTGCAGAGTTCGATTGTTGTACGAAGTTCCCTAAAACAGTAAAAAGCATTTTCCCCCCAATACAAACCGGATTCCAAAAAAGTTGGGACACTAAACAAATTGTGAATAAAAACTGAATGCAATGATGTGGAGGTGCCAACATCAAATATTTTATTCAGAATAGAACACAAATCACAGATCAAAAGTTTAAACTGACAGAATGTATCATTTTAAGGGAAAAATCTGTTGTTTCCAAATTTCATGGCGTCAACAAATCCCCAAAAAGTTGGGACAAGTCCATTTTTACCACTGTGTGGCATCCCCCCTTCTTCTTACAACACTCAACAGACGTCTGGGGACAGAGGAGACCAGTTTCTCAAGTTTAGAAATAGGAATGCTCTCCCATTCATGTCTAATTCAGGCCTCTAACTGTTCAATCGTCTTGGGCCTTCTTTGTCGCACCTTCCTCTTTATGATGCGCCAAATGTTCTCTATAGGTGAAAGATCTGGACTGCAGGCTGGCCATTTCAGTACCCGGATCCTTCTCCTACGTAGCCATGATGTTGTGATTGCTGCAGAATGTGGTCTGGCATTATCATGTTGAAAAATGCAGGGTCTTCCCTGAAAGAGATGACGTCTAGATGGGAGCATATGTTGTTCTAGAACCTGAACATAGTTCTCTGCATTAATGGTGCCTTTCCAGACATGCAAGCTGCCCATGCCACAAGCGCTCATGCAACCCCATACCATCAGTGATGCAGGCTTCTGAACGGAGCGTTGATAACAACTTGGGCTATCCTTGTCCTCTCTGGTCCGGATGACATGGCGTCCCAGTGTTCCATAAAGAACTTCAAATCGTGACTCATCTGACCACAGAACAGTCTTCCATTTTGCCACACTCCATTTTAAATGACCCCTGGCCCAGTGCAAACGTCTGAGCTTGTGGAGCTTGCTTAGAAATGGCTTCCTCTTTGCACTGTAGAGTTTCAGCTGGCAACAGCGGATGGCACGGTGGATTGTGTTCACTGACAATGCTTTCTGGAAGTATTCCTGAGCCCATTCTGTTATTTCCTTGACAGTGGCATTCGTTTTTGAGGTGCAGTGACATTCAAGGGCCCGGAGATCACGAGCATCCAGTAGAGTTTTACGGCCTTGACCCTTACGCACAGCGATTGTTCCAGATTCTCTGAATCTTTTGATGATGTTATGCACGGTTGATGATGATAACTTAAAAGTCTTTGCTATTTTACGCTGGGTAACACCATTCTGGTATTGCTGCACTATCTTTCTGCGCAACAATGGTGGAATTGATGATCCTCTTACCATCTTGGGTTCTGAGAGACACTGACACTCTGAGAAGCTCTTTTTATACCCATTCATGTTGTCAATTGAACTAATTAGTGTTAATTGGTCTTCCAGCTGTTCGTTATATGCTCAATTTCCTTTTTTCCAGCAACTTATTGCTACTTGTCCCAACTTTTTTGGGATTTGTTGACACTGTGAAATTTTGAATCAACATATTTTTCCTTTAAAATGTTACATTTACTCAGATTAAACTTTTGATCTGTCATCTATGTTATATTACAAATAAAATATTGACATTTGCCATCTCCACATCATTGCATTCAGTTTTTATTCACAATTTGTTTAGTGTCCCAACTTTTTTGGAATCCGGTTTGTATAACACCACTAAAATAAAATCAATTTATTACCTGAGCAAATAAAAGTATTTAATAAATCAACAGCAGCAATTTCAGCTCGAGTCTTATAAAGCAGAAAGTTACAAACCTGGGTTTCTATGCTGGGTGCCATGGGCTGGATGACCTCGTGGGCAGGATGTGAAGTGGAGGAGGAGGGACCTTTCTTGTTCTGGTGACCCCTGCCCGGCGGTCGGGGAATTACCGCAGTACCAGTAGGTGGGTACAGACCTTGGCTCTCCGCATCCTGATACAGAGCTGCGTGTCTCGCTTCAGCCTCGTTCTTTCCTACCACAAATCTGGGCAACGGCAGATCTTTGACTGGCAAGAAAAAAAGATTCACTAAGCTCGGTAATCAAATCTCTTAAAGACACAGAAATTGTTGGTATTGTCGGTGCTGATCTGTTGGAAATGTGAAGTTTGCTTTATTTTACACCAAAATATGGATTTAACTTTTGATGCAACTGCACAAAAATAATAAACTTTTGTTTCAGTTTGTAAGCCCCACTGTCAACCTGTTAAATGTTATACAGAAAAAAATTGCAGTATAAAAAGAAGATTAAATAAAGAAAGTGGGCCCTTTCATACAGGAGAACTGTCAATCATGTGCTGCTGCAACTTAAATATGAGGCTTCAAGGCTCATCTGGTCTCTATAGAGGCAGACGGTACAATCTATTTTTAGATGCAGTGTGTCGTGGACGTAGAAGACTTTGATTTTGTTAATCTATACTGCCACTTTAAGAGAGACAGCAGTTTGTCCCAGTAGAGTTGCCGTAGGTTCTGTAGAAGAAACTTGTTGCTATAAAACTGTTTTTACTTTTTTTCATATTTTCTTTGCTGAACCCTGAAAAACGTTTTGTCTGAAGTTTTCAGAATGTGACCGTGTTTTTATGATCGACTTTGAAATGTTTGATATGTGTATGAATTTAACACAATGCTAATTATGTTAGCTTTGCTATGTTACTTTCAATGTTAAGTTAGCGCCTTCTATACAGTAGTCCCTCATTTATCGTGGGGGATCTGTACCCTGAAGTGAAAAACCATGAAGTAGGAATAGTAGTACATGTAGTAGTAGTTTATTTTAGTATTTATATATATACTGTATATAGATAAAGGTGCTTTAAACCTTCCCACACTTGCAACATTCTAAACAATGTTCCTAAACTCTAAACGCTCTAAAAGAGCACAGTGTCATGATTTCAGCTCCCTGCCTCCTCTGCTCTTTGCCACCTGCAAGCACTCTTGGCCACACCCACTTCTCTGCTCTGAACACTGAACAGCTGATCAGCTGCAGCAGTATGGGCTGCACAAAGGTGCAGGAGGTGCCAAATAATTTAAAATAATTTATTTTAAATTAAAAAATACATGCCGATCGTGCGGCTCATCCAGCAATCAGCCAATTGTGTGGCATGTCCAAACTTATTTTGAAAAACCGCAATAGAGCGAGTCCGCAATAAACGAACAGCGAAGTAGCGAGGGACTACTGTAGTAATATTTGATCAGCAACCTATGATTATGAGTTTTCTTACATTTGTTACTGTGTGCTCTAGGCATAGAAGCATAAATATCAGTAAAAACAAACCATAGCTTATTAGGTTTCAAGATAATCCAAACACATCCATCGTTTTATTATGGCACTGCAGCCCTGTGAATCGTAATCAAATAGTCAGATGCTGAAAGATTCCCACCTCTTCATGAGACACTATTCAAATAACCTTTGATCCAGCAATGGCTGCATATTTCTAATTTTGAATTTTAAATAAATATAAATCCAACTTTGACAATGGTCAGGAGCAATGTATTCACTTTTGGGTGCTTGTTTCTAGGAAATGTGTTCATTTCCCCCTACTAAACATGCCTCAAAATGTTGTTAGCTATAAATTAGGATTATAGCAATAAATGTTTATTGTCTTAATCAAGCAACCCTGTCCTACAGCTTTTAAAAATATAAATGTATAAGTTGACATTGATCAACTGATAAAAAAGATGTCTTATTGTCTAAGCAAACGCTCAACTTCACCTCTGATGTACCAAGAATTTTTTTTTTAAACCATTTCATGTAAACGAGTGGTTCCCAACCCTGGTCCTTGAGGAACACCATCCTGCATGTTTTACTCGTTTCCCTGCTTTGACACACCTGATTTGAATGAATGGGTGATTAACACGCTTCTGCTGAACTTGAAGTAATTAAATCACTGAATCAGGTGTGTTGAAGCAGGAAAACAACTAAAACATGCAGGATAATGTTCAAGGACCAGGGTTGGGAACTACCGGTACTGAATTAAGCTATTCTTCTCTAAATAAAGAATATTTTCTCCAGTCCTTATTTAGAAAGACCTGACATGACGTTAACGATGTATTTTTGTTTTTAATCACATTCCACTGATCTTTTCATCCTTGGAGGCAGCATCAAGTTGAAGTGATGTTTCCAAACAGCCTCAAACCTAAAAATCATCACAAGGTCTCATTTATACTGAGGGGGAAGTGGCCTCTGCACTTCCGTATATGCTTATCAAATTATGAAATCGTTCAGCGTGTTGCAACATTTAACATGTCTGTGGGCAGTGAGTGTGAAAAACCTGTTTTGTTTAAGAGAAAGTAGTAATAGATTTATTATTTTTAGTAAAACTTTCAGTGTTTATGGAAACAAACTGTTAAAGCAGCCTTATCCTTCCTAGTCATCCCAAAGCAGAAATGTAAGACTAAACAGTGACTAATACTGTATATATTTTTTAACAACTACACTCTGTTATATAACTTGTATTAGATGTGATTCATTAAATATGACAAGTGCACTGACAGCACTTAAAGGCTTCCAAACGTTTGATAAAAAAACAACATGCTTAATATTTACAGCTCCAACAAACTGCTCCTGTTAAAGTGAGTTGGAATGAGCACAGTCTGCAGTGCAAAAAGCAGTGAAAATATTGATCGGTGTAAAAATGAGTTCATAAAGACGACATCAAGATATCTTAGGAACTAAAATAGCATCTTATCTTCCCAATCTACCTTTAAACCAAGGTTTTCTAACAGGTATGTCTTTACATCAGTAAACTTCTTCTGAAATTGACAGTTTCTCGCTGCTAGCTGCCATAGCACCAGGAAATCTTGTCGTATAATATTTGGAAATATTGTAAAACTTATGGGTTCACCTTTTTGAATAAAAGGTTTGAATTCACGACTGACAACGTGCAAGACCAACAAATTACGTTTTTCAAACTGGCACTCTTGTAAACAACGTAGCTTGGTGGTCAGCGCCATGGTCTTATAACCCTGAGGTTGCGGGTTCGAGCCCAGGCTGTGTCAGGAGGGTATCCGGTGTAAAACAATTGCCAAATCTTTCATGCGAGTTTGCTCGCTGTGCCAACCTCTGAAGAAGGGAGCAGCCGAAAGAAACTTACTTTTACTCTTGTAAACAACGCTAACTTGTCAGGCCAGGTGATAAACGGCCAAACTCCAACAAAATACTTATAATTGTGACGACGTTTGAGATGGAGAATTTGAAAACAACAACTCAATATTGAAAACTTCATGTGTGACTCATTTTGCCAGCGTGGGTCACAAAAGTTCATCCCTACTTTTGCGCTCCACTACCTCTAAGAATTTGATTTGATTCGAAAGAAGACGAAAAAAATAAAAATAAAAAAAGCCAAAAAGTGACGATGAGGAAAAGTTGCTGTGTGGACTCACCTGAATTGAGGCTCTCCACCCTCAGCGGTAGTCCAGACTGGGCGATGGCAATGAGCTTCAAAGCGATGTAGAACTGGCTCCGTCCGAAATGCCCCAGCCGAGTGGCTCCACACAACTCTGTGATCTAACACACACAAAGATGGAGAATAGTTAATAACTGAATTCATCTGGAGCTGAACTTCTAATGAGCCACATTTATTCAGGAATTGAAAGAAGTGACACCACAATAAAAATAACTCTTATAAAATTAATCTCTTTGGGGCCCTGTAGCTCAGTGGTTGGTGCCACAGCCTCGTAATCCTGAGGGTGCAGGTTCGAGCCTCAGGAAGGGCATCCAGCATAAAACATTGCCAAATGGGGGAGTGGTGGCGCAGAGGTTAGAAGATGGGCTTGTGATCGGAAAGTTGCAGGTTCACCTCCCGGTACCGTCAACATCAAAATGTGGGTGGAAAAGGTGAAACACCCACAACTGCCTCCACCCTCATTTGCCCCACTCTGGGTCCCTGAGCAAGGCCCTACCCCCACCATCTGCTCCCTAAACAGGTCTCTCTTGAAAATGAGTTCTTGTGGCTCATTGAGACTACCTGGATAAATAAAGGGTAACAGAAAAAAAAAAGTTTCAGTTTGCTCGATGTGGCGCCCCCTGCAGAAGGGAGCAGCCCAAAGATGAACAGCAAGCTTAGAATTAACCACTCTTTCATCGGTTGTCAAATACCTCTAACCCGGTAAACATGATACACCGCACCTGTTTTAATGCAAAATGGTGCGCGAGGAACCCTCTGATTTTACAGAGCGTACTCGCTGAGGTTCAGAGGGTTTCGACCATCACAAACCCGATTATTAAAGCTGCACAATGAACTCATTTTTGGAATACAACCAGAAAAACAGGTTATTCAACAAAAACAATTATTAAAAATATTTAGTCACAGGCTATACAGTAGTCCCTCGCTACTTCGCAGTTCCACTTTTGCAGTTTTTCAATGATTGTCAACTTTAATATTACTCACGTGATAGGGACAGTACGAGATAAAACGTTAACAGTAAATAAAACTTGGGACAGGCGCCGCCATTTTGTAGTTTTCTTTCAATAAGCCTACACTGTATTGCCATTCAAAACTACAATACCCAGAAGCCAACAGTGTTCCAGCCGTTGCTTTCTTCCGCAATGGAGGGTAAGTTTTGCAAAGCAAATCTACGCCATCTATGAAGCTCACAGAACTGGCAGGAATGTTCCTGCAAATAATCCTGAAGCTTCCTGAAGCTCAATTATCCACGCGCACATCAACCTGGACGGGGCGGTGCAGGGTAGGTCTGCAGAACCGGAACCAAGCTGCTGGTCTGCAGAGCTGGCGAGTAAAATTTTGCTGTACTGTAAAATACATATACGATTGTTGTTCAAATGACGCGGGTTTAAGAATTTAGAACATTGCAAGAGTGTGGGAAGAGTTTATAAAGCCTTAAAATATATATAAATACTAAAATAAATACAGCGTTCCTACTTCGTAATTTTTCCAACTATCGTGGGGGTGTTTGGAACATAACCCCCGTGATAATCGAGGGATCGTACTGTATTGCTTTGAGAGCTTGTCTCGACTTTGCCATCTCTAAATGTTTTGTTGAACTGAAACACTTTTTGCTGTTTTTTTTTTAATCTGTCAATATTCATAAAATTTTGGACCTTTTACCAGTTATTAAAATGTTATTAATCCAAAATATAACCAGACCTATTTTAGGTGGAAAACAAGAAAAATAAAAATTAAAGTGCACTGTATTCAGTAAGTTTCAGTCAGTTAAACTGATCACTTTTAGCAAGCAAACCTCGGGGGAAGCCTGTGGAGAGAAGGACCAGGGTGGGATGCAGGTCCTGATAGGTTCTGCTTGATTTGATATACTACAAATACCTTAAAAAAAAAAAAATTCAAACTTTCAGGCCACAGAGAGTAAACTATGGGGAGAGGAGGCCTTGGGAGGGATGTGGGTCCTGGCAGGCTCCTCTCTTTGATAATTTTAAGGAACTATCAGGTTCAGGAAAGCCAAAAAAGGTCAAAATCCAAACACCCAGACCTTTACAGAGAGCAGGTCAAGGCTGGGACCCTGGCTGGTCCCCAGCAGGATCCTTTCCCTGGTCCATTCCGATGAATATCAGGTCTACAAAAACAACGAGATAACAAAATCCAAACATCAAGGAGGGCAAGCGTGGAACTGAAGGCATGTGAGAGGAGGCCTACACTGTAACATGAGCCCCGACAGGATCAGGATCACAACACCTGAAAAATGTCAAAGTCCAAACACCTAGGTAAAGTAGGGAAGCATTGAGGGAAACCTGAGAAGAGGAGGCCCAGGCTGGGACTTGGGACCCAGTGAGTGGATACTTGTGATATTGATCAAAATATATGCAACTATACTGATTTTCAGTGATTTTCTTCTGATTTACATTCTCCAACACAAGCCTGATAGAACAGAATGGTAGATTAGAAGCTAGAAAAGCTTGAAATAGTTTGAAACGTGCATGAATTTCTACAAGAAAGAGGTATTACATAAAGTAAAGCAAAAACAGTAGCCCTGCAGCTTGTGGATGATTAAAACTCCTGAAGTTTGTAATATGAACCAATAGTGTGAGTTGTTCAGGACTGTGAACCACCACAGCTGACTGACTCCTCTCTTGCTGACAAAGGACTTTATCTAAATGGGAGAGCACACAAAGCACCGGTCACTTTCCTCAGACTCTTACGACACCACACTGGAGCGTCTCGGGGCCTGCAACACCGAGCTCAGAGTGGATTTTCAAAGTAAGGAAACTACAAGGCCGGCTGATTCCTCCACCACACAGCTCCCCTTGTTGACCTTGAAAAGGATGCTGACTCACAAGCTGCAAATTTTGGGACTGCTGAGAGACGTGGAGTCACAAGAACGGGCCGCTGCAGTTTAACTGGCTGCTCATTCTCAGTGAAACGATGGAGCAGGGACACCACAGATGAGATTATCAGGCATGAAAGCATTACATGCTCGCTCAGCCTCATCAACTTGAAAATATGTTCGGGGACAACTAAAGAAAAACAAACTCTGACTTTGTCACTGATTAAGAAGTAAAATTCAATATAACAAAAGGCTGAGCACTCAAGGATACGTGTTCCACTTCAAGGAACACGTATCACTCGCAACATTACATATCGGGTTTAGGACTACTAACAGCTACTACCACAGCTAATTTTAGCCCAGCAGCTATAAAACTGAATGTGTGAGCCATTTTGTGTTGGCTAATGTCAATCAGCTGTGGCGGCCATGTTGAACAGAGTTCACTTCAAAAGTGGTTGTACATCCATTAAGAACTTCCAGAGCGTTTCATTAAAATATGTTCAAGCATTCTTGAGATATTATGCTAACACTACAGTTAAACACGCACATGGGCGGGCAATAAGGAGCAAACTCTGCTCAAAACAAGTAAAATGAGAGGAAAGAATCCGGTTGCAAAAGATGGAACACCACAGACACAAACAGGGTGTTGTCAGCAGTGCCTTGCAGTTATTGCCCCGGCATGTTGCTACACCACTTATTTGCCCGATTGTTTAAAATTAGAACTAAAATCTCTGTTATAATTCTAATATATCAAATTAATACCTCAAACCAGTATTTGCTGTAGTATTTTACACAAACTCGACTGTGTCATGGTGACCCAAACAGCATATTAAACCACCAAAATGGTTTGTTCATTTTAAATTGACTGTGTAGGTTTCCTGTTTAAAAAAAAGTACTGCAACAAAAAAAAAAATGTTTTGTAATGGTGCATATTTATTTAGAGATAAGCTTTCTTTAGGCAGATAAATTTGTGTGTGTGTGTTTTCTTCCAACTAAACGTAGCATTACAAATAAATACTGCGACGCAACTTTAACCTGAAGTATTAAACTCTGGATAAAACCAGTTCCACACCTCGACAGAGGGGTTTAAACCACACACCAGATCCATGAAGCCAGAGCAGTAAAGACTAAGCCTAAGAGCTGTGATGTTTCAGATTGGGACACACAGACTGCTCTGCAGACGAACAGAATGGAGTCATCTTCAGCTTGACCGGTGACCGACGTCCAAAAATACAAGCTTGTAAACGCACCACATCAAAGCAAAACTAAAAGAAATAAGATTACTTATTTCCCCTAAAGTCTGAATTTACTGAGCGAGGAAGACTCAAACTTGTGAAGTCTGTTAAACACTAAAAAAAAAAAAAATCAAAAGAAGCCTGAGACAAATGAGCACCTAAAGGAGGCAGAGTTTCCATAAAGGGTATATCTTATTACTTTACTGCTCAGTAATCTAAAGGTGAAAGGTATTCACTGCAATAAAATAAATGATCCTGAATTAAAGATGTAGTGAAATGTAATTCTGAAATGTGGGTACGCACTCAGTGTAAACAAAGAATCCAACAGAAGTCTTTGTGCATAATTTACTCAACAAATCTGAGCACAAACATAATGCATCCGAGTCACGCGATTGTGATCCACAACGATTCACCCACGAACGTCACCGTTGTTGACGTGTTTTCGGTCCCTTTGTCTGTTTCAGTAGGTTAACAAACGCACAAGGAAGTTGGCGTCCGATCACAAATTTTGTTTACAAATGTTTAATTTAAGCAAACATCAACTACTGAAGTGAGATTAAAAAAAACTGTGCAAATTTTGTTTTTTTACTTTATGAACTTTGTTAACCAGTCTTCCCAACATTACAAAAAGTTTTCCTTTCCAGTGCCACCTACCACTCCCAACAGGTGGCACGTGTAAATATTGCATACTTGATGAAATCTTAACTTAATGTGCCCCAAGCTGTAGACAAACGCAAATAGTTGTAATATGAGCGGCTTCGGATGTTGTCAGTCCATTAAACGGCCGTTATTAGTTGTTATCATTCCTATATGTAGCGGTCAAACTGTCCCACCTACCTCCTAGTAGGTTTAAAGGTACGTTATTATTGCTGATAATAGGCAGTGTCACACGGAGGTAAACCAGGAAGTGTCTTTTTAGTTGTTTTCAGCTTATGTAACCCTTTTCCTAAAAGTAAGCTTACACCTGACCCTGAGGACCAACCCTAAACTTAACCCCCTTACCCTTGTGCCTAAACCTAACCAAGACTCTAAACCTAACCATGTGAAGCTATTATGAGCGCTAACAAAGCTAAAAATAGAGCCTATTATCATCGCTAACAACGTACCTTTAAACCCACTGGGAGGTACAGGTGGGGCAGTCTGACCGCTACATATGGGGATGATAACTAATAACGGCCATTTAATGGCTGATAACATCCGAAGCGGATGGAGCGGTAATATTCTGGTAGAGAACCAGTTTGTTTCTTACCGATGTTAAATTAGAAACTACAGATTGAAGTAATCTGTCAAAACACCAAGTGGTTTCTTCCTCATGAGCGAGTTTTTCCTTTCCACCGTCGCCTTCATGCTTGCTCAAGATGAGAGTTCTGCGACGGAGTTAAACTCAAAGCAGTCTGCTCTTCAGATTAAATAATGTTAAATTATTATTTTTAAATAGGAATGTTTCTGTTCAGTGCCCTGAGACGACTTCTGTTGCGACTTGGCGCTATATGAATGAACTGAACTATGTTATGAAATGTGCAAAAGCTCAAGCTCAATAATGAGAAGTTTCCTGTGACAGCGAGAGGAAGTCGTACAGCTACATGTTTTTGTACATTTCTTTTCTTTCTTTACTGTAAATATTTCATAAAACACACACCAGATCTGACCTTACTGTGAATTAGGTCAGAAATGTTCATAAAGCTGTTAAACGGAATGGGCCTCTAACATCTGCAGCCAGTGCAATCAATAAATCAATAGGTTCTTTTTACAAGTAAACACAGTGTGTATGTTTTTAGCATGTCAGCTCAACCCAGAAACAGATGGAAGGAGAATAAAGGGACATGTGAGCAGCAATGAATGCGAATTCTAGAGAGCATTGTTCAGCTGTGAAGCAGACCCAACAGCTAATCACAGGATTAGGACATTAGGACACATTTGCAGCTCTGTTTGGTAGAGAGGCTAACAGTAGCCAGAGGAAGGTGTGTCTGCTGCAGCTTTGCTAGCCATCCTGGCTAACCTCGGGTCTAACGGGCAAAGTTGGCACCTTCTCCGCCAACAGCTCCGCGTTTCGTGCTCTTACTTCTCTGGTTTAGAAGTTCCTTGTTGTCGTTTGTTTTAAAGCTAGTTAGCTTACCTGCAGGACAACTTCGCTGGGTAGCTGGGCCGCCCGGAAAAGGTCGAGAACTCTCCCGTTGGAAGCCACTTTCTTGGTGTTGTCCGTGTCGCAGTAAACGAACAGGTCCGAGTAGTATTTCTGCTCGACATCACTCAGCGTTAGGCTTTCCATGGTTCGGTGAACCTGGGAACCGGACAAGTTGGTTGCTGCTGGCACCCCCACGCCCACCCCCTTGTAGCCAACGGCTGGCTCCAAAAAGACTTCAGGATCCCAACTCGGCGAGCTAACGGTGAGCTTAGCGGTAATGATGTTCCCGACAAACCGCGTCGACTTGTCGTGTGCTCCCCCCCTCTCCCCTGCCTCCCTCCACACTTCTCCAGTACGAATATCCGCAGGAGGAACCCCTCAGCACAGTTCGTTAACTTGTTGGGCAGCGGAGCCAACAGCTGGCTCCGAGCTAGCAGCTACCTTGAATCAAAGTCAGCCGCACTAACGGCACTAGCGCGAGCCGTAAACCGCGTCCACCTCCTCGAGCTGGACATGAACCGAGCTATCCTCGCGCTGCGGTTTTTCTTCTCCCCGCGAATCCGCAACGGGACGACGGTTCTAAGCGCCACTGGAGGCAGATTCCGCCACCGGGCCGTTAGAAGTAAAGTTTCAGGGTCTTGGGGCTCCTTCCTCTAGTAATCATAGCCGCCATTCCCCCCATTGGTGGCAAGTCACCGGAGGTTCAAGCATCGTTTCCGGAGAGGCTCTTTCAAAATAAAAGGCGCACCCACAATCCAAGTCTTAAAAGGAAATGTCCACAGTCTTCATCTTAGTTTTGGACTGAACATAAAATAAGAGGAGAGATTCACATTGTTTATATTATGCATACAATTTGATGAAACTGAACATGGTTAAAAAACAATAAGGTTAAAGCTCCTTATTATCTGCAATTTTTGGTGTCTGTTTATCTTAATTTTGGGTAAAGCGTTCAAATATGCATTCCAAGTACACATGTAACAGTTAAAGTCAACGGTAATGATTTAGAATGAATCGATAAACTATAAAGTTTATACATATTTTGAGCTAATGTTGACTAACAATTCAGATTGCATGCAAACAGAAAACAAATGATGGGGTAATTTATTGTATACGTTTGCAAAGAGTTAAACAATAAATGATCATTTTACATTATTAAAAAAAAACAGTATGTAAAACATTATTCACCTTACAGAGAACAGGTCAGGCCAAGCTTAAAGTGTATTTTATCTAAATACAGAATTTACTAATATACAAGATCAGGAAAAAGAATAAGGAAGAAGAATATTTTGTTGATGAGGTTACAGTTTTAGCGCTGCTTATTTTTATATTATCGTGTTTTATTCTTGCAGAAAATATTGAATTTTAACTTTCAATACTAAATTGATCAACATATATTAAATATTAACTGTTTGGTTGCTGGGGCAGCACGGTGGCGCAGTTGGTAGAGCTGCCGCCCCTCAGCGAGCCGGTCGCCGGACCAAATCCCGGTCCAGGGACCCCTCTGGGTGGAGTTTGCATGTTCTCTCCGTGCGTGCGTGGGTTTTGTCGCGGTACTCTAGTTTCCTCCCACAGACCAAAAACATGCATGTTAGGCTGATTGGTGACTCTAAATTGTCCCTAGGTGTGAGTGAGAGCGTGAATGGTTGTTTGTCTCGTTTGTCCCTATGTGTCCCTGTGATGGACTGGAGACCTGTCCAGGGTGTCCCCTGCCTCTCACACAACGATGGATGGACATGGGCCCCAGTGGCCCTCGTGACCCAAAGAGGAAGAAGCGGGTAAAGATAATGGATGGATGGATGTTTGGTTGCATTTGACTTTTGAACTCATTATTGTTTGTTTTGTTTATGATTCATTCATGTTGGAAACTTGCAGAACAAAAAGTGAGATATGAAAAAAAAATAAGCTCAAATGTGGTAAAAACAGTTACAATTGTGGTTGAAAGTGTTTTGGTGGAAAAAAGCAAATAAAACATGCACGTCTGTTTTCTTTTGAGATGGAGAATAAAAATTATATTTTCTTGAGAGCATTTTTTTTTATGGCTTGTTTTTCTTAAGAAGGCCGTTTGCTTTTAAAATGTTGTAATTTAGTGCGTTTATTCTGAAAACAAAACTGGACAACATCCGGCGTGATCTCAGGATTTGTGGGTACTCATCATCAACTTGACGTTCATGACGTCACTGGGCCACGGTCCGAGTCAGCGCGAGTTTGCCTGGCCTGCAGAGACCCGGATGAGTGATTTCAGAATAAAAACGGCACTTTCCGCCTTAAAACTTGTAAGTTTAATAATATTAATGATAATAATTATAAATATATTGATTTTTTTTCTTTGTCATATACAGCAAAATTGAAACTATTAGGTCAATTTAATTACATTTTGGTTAGATTCCATAATCATGTGATAGATAGATAGATAGATAGATAGATAGATAGATAGATAGATAGAT